ATACAAGCTCTACAATTTGAAAAACAAAATTTGCTTTCTATGTCTATAAACTCGGGTTATAGGATAAGCACAAAGCTTATTTGTATAGCAGTCAAACAATTTTCATGAAACTAAAGTTGATTACAAGAAATGAATATGATCAGTTTGTGTTATAAATGAAACTATTAGTTGGTTCTAATATTAACTCCTAACCTGTTTCCTGTGTTTTATTTATTCATTGGAGGATGTGTCAACTGATCTAAGTTCAGTTACACAAACTCAGTGTTTATCACAGGATTCTGCATTCCCTTCTGACCAAAGACATAGATTTCAGCAATAGCTCCTGTGTCATCTTTGCTCATTAGCAAAGTCTGAGGATAATTTGATAATTAGAAAATGTGAAATCCTATTCTTTATCACATATTATACCCAATACATTTTATACTTACTTTTCTCATCATTATTTGTGATTGAGAGAATGTAATACTTTTCTCATCATTATTTGTGATTGAGAGAATGTAATATAATTTAATATTAACCTATAATAAATTTAATTGAGAAGGGAATTCTTTGAAGGAAAAAATACATTCTAGAGTCCTGAAAAAATAATTCAGTTGGTAGTAGAAACAGCACAATCTTTAGAGCATATAGAAATCTTTGCTTAACTAATTTGATACCATATTAGATAATAGATATAAGTAGCATTTGAAACTCAGTTTCTAGGCAAACATGGATTACGAGAATTATCCATTTATCTCTTCCTTCCATAGTTTAGATGATTGAAATTTTAATTTTTTAAAAAAAATTTAATCCTTGTAATCATCTTGGTGTACTGCTCTCAAAGTACTCTTAACAAGGGCTTCTTTGAAATGAATCTACCAGGATTGGATTATATGGGTTTCTTGTTTCTAAAATTTTAAGGTTAAAATGTTTTCCAATATTAAATCTTAATGCCTTCTAATTTGCTGACTTAGCTTTTAGCTCTTACAAAAATAAAATACATATTCTAAATTAAGCTTTGACTTTTCTAACTAAAGCTATTTGTTGATGTCTGTTAGGTACTCTCTTATCTGTTCATGAGCTTGGAAGGGTGTTGACTTTTTGCTGAGCACCTAACATCTTCTAAGAACGGTGTTAAGTGGTTTATGCATAATATCTCATTTAATCCTTTCAACAACTCCTAATGAATGGTTTAAGTTTTGTTAGTTTACAGATGAAGAAAAGAACTCAGTTAAATAATTTTCAAGGCTAAAATAGTAGAGCAGAGTCAGTATTCAAACTCACATCAGTTTGGCTTAAAAGCTGATATGCTTTTCAATATATCTTTTCTCTTGATTATAAAAAGAAGGAAAACAAATGAAAGTGATGATATTTCGGATTTCACTTGGTTGAATTAAAATTAACAAATTTAGAAGCATCCCTTAGGTAGGATTTTTACCTGCAAAAAGATAAAAGGTCAAAGAAATAACATTTAGTGCCAGGAATCAGAATTGAAATTTTTGAGCCTTTGTTTCTTGACCTTTTTGTAGTTCCAATTCCAAGGAATTCCTCAAGTTAAACACGTTTAAAGCATTTTGAGCACTTGTATACAAAGAAGCTCACCTCTTACATAACAGATTCTATTGCCTCTAACATAGGTTTTAAGTCCTATAGTTCTGGTTCCATAACCTTACTGAAAATATCCTATCAGTTCTAACCAAATTTTGGAAGTACTAATTTAAAAAAAAAATTCTTTTATTTGAAATGCAGTTAGAAAGAGAGAGAGAGAGAGCAATCTTCCATCCTCTGGTTCACTCCCAAATAGCTGTAATGGCCAGGGCTGGGCCAGGCCAAAGCCAGGAGCCTGTAGCTCCATCTAGGTCCCCTATGTAGATGGCAGGGGCCCAAGCGCTTGGACCATCTTCTGCTGCTTTCTCAGTCCATTAGCAGGGAGTTGGATATGAAGTGAAAATAGCCAGGACTTGAACCTGCGTTCATATGGGGTACAGACATCATAGGCAGCAGCTTAACCCACTGTATCACAATGATGGCTCCAAGTACTAACTTCATAAGCAAATGCTAAACTATAACCCTATAAGGGTGACTAAAACAATATAAAAATATATAATACATATCAAGAAAATGAATATTTGTGGTAGTTTAAAGCGATATTAAGTCAGAAAGTTATAGCAGGATCCACAATCTAGGCAAACATGAATGTAAGGCCTCCTTATCAATTTGAAACAAAATTATATGATGGCATTAAGAGATTAAGGTTTGAAGTGATAGTCACTTTAAAAAATTATTTATTTGAGAGGCAGAGAAACAGACACACACACACACACACACACACAGCTCCCATCCATTGGTTTACTCCCCAAATGCCCATAACAATGGGAGCCCAGGCTGACTGCAATCCAGGTCTCCCACATGGGTGTCAGGAACTCAAGTACTTGAGCCATCATTGCTGTCTCCCAGGGTCTACGGTTAAAAGGCAGCTGGAGTCAGGAGCAGCAGCTGGGCATTGAACCTGCCAGGAATAGAACCTAGGCACTCTGATGTGGGACATAGGCATCTTAACAGGCATCTTAACTGTTAGGCCAAACTGTCACCCCAGTTGTCACTTTATTACCAATGGCAACCCCATACATTGCACCACTATGCCAAAAATGTTTGGGGAAATCATATATAAATTAAAATATGGAAGCAAAAATATTTTAGTTCACCAAAGGTTTATTAACATGACTATAGAGTCTAATTTACCATCTTACAAATACTTTACAAACCATAGATTAAATTTCATGAGATATTCAGAAGAGTGAATAAATGTAGGAAAAGCTACTGGTCACCCCTTCTATCCTTAGATCATTTACTAGTGACCTAACGGCCATTTTGGAGTTTTCTTCCTCAACTCAAAAATGAGGAGTTGAATCCTTTCATTATTCTTTAAGAGTCGCTCCAGCTCAAAATGTCATAATTTAAGCTTTTTTTTTTTTTTTTACAAGAAGACACATGGAGATACTCAGGAAGGAAAGAGGCTGCAGTTTAACATTGTGGACAAAATGAGTTCTGTGAGATTGTGTGGTCAGGAATAAAGACAAAGGAATGTGTCCTAATATGATTGATAAATTTATATATCCTTAAATGTGTGCTAATATGATTGATAAATTCATATATCCTTAGTTTTAATTTAAATGAGTTCATATATCCTTTTATTTTAATCAAAACGGTGCACTGTGTTATTATTTTGAAGGAATCCATTTATGGAGAATACATAAAATTCATATTTAATATAGACAACATATATTTGAAAATAACAGTTCTATTTAATGGAAGCTGTAGAACACCTTTCCAAAATGTAGAGTGAGACTTGCATTTTAACCTATTGATTTTATATGTAATGTATATCTAGTTCCTATATATAATGTAAACCTATTTCTACATAGGTTTTCTTAAAATCAAAAACATAAAAAATATTCAGTAAATAAATTAGAACCTCTATGTTTATGTTTAATTTATTTAAAATGCATGATCCCTGCATTTTAAATACAATATGCTTTAACATTTTAAAATTACTGGCAATACTAACAATATGCTCCGTTTAAATATATATATATACATATATATACACCCATACATATATATACATACATACACACACACACACACACACATCTCACCTGAAAACTGATTGAAAAGAGAAAAACTCAACCAACTGAAAGTTTTGACCTGGATACAATTTATGCTGAATCAAAGTAATTTTGAGTTGCTGAATCAGCACATTCCTTTTGCAGATACATTGCATAGTTTTTCAGAAGTTTAGCTGAATTACCAGAAGCTTCATGTAGTATTGCCTAGAGGTAGGACTAACACATATCCAAAGCTTTTCCCTGCAAAAAAATGCAATCTCATCTGAGCATTTTCGCTTTTTGTCTTTATTCTTTATGAACATCCTAAAAACACTATTAATACAGACTTTGAATTTGAACATAATTAAAAAGGATGCATCAGACTTGCTCAGTTGAAAGTCCTATTAAGATGATCTATAAAGAGATATTGACAGGAAAGAGGTAATATGATATGCCAAAATAAATATTAAAATATTAGTGACTTTCATTTTAAATGATACAGTTTACTAAAGTAACTGGATCAATGAAAGAGTGTGGTAAAATAAATCATTTTAAAATAAAAGAAAAAGAAGATGCAAGTATTCTTTAACCTAAAAAGTTTTTCAGAACTACCAGGCATGATAAAACCTGTCTTCATTCCTTTCTATTCAGCTCAGCAAGTGCTTTTGAGCTCCAATAGTTAATCAGTTACCAGATTCCACAATCTTTGTTTTTCACACTCCTTAATTCTTGCTGTGAATTGTTACTCTAATATACTCAGGATCAACAACCAGGCCAATACTTTTAGGCAATTATTATTTTATTCACAATTGGATTTACCATATAAAATTGTTACTACATAGCTACAGCCTGTAAAACATAATAGTATATTATCAAAGAAGTAGATGGCTTGAGATGAATGATTACTATGTGAAATATATTTGGCAAATTATTCAACTCGGCTTTTTAAAGGAATATGGCCTTGTCCAACTTAAAAAAAAGATAGCAAAAGTATATTCTATACCAAATAACCTTTATCCAAGCAAATCAATGAACACATAGACAAGTGTTATAAAACATTATATAACAGAAAGAGTATAATATAGGTATTACCATTTAAAAAGTATATACCTTCTTGAACATAATTTTAAAATTTAACCTTCTAAAATTGCATAGAAAATCAAGAAATACAAAAGATATAACTTACCCTTCAATTTATTTAGAAAACCTCTGCTGTTGGTCAAAAGCAGGTATGTCACTGCTCACTTTCCCTGAAGCTATGAACTTAAACATTGAATCAGTGGACGCCACCTCTTTGGACCACACTTGAGCTTGCTAGGCACTACTGCTATGTGGAAGAGATCTGCTGCATCTAAGCTATATACTGTGTGCAATGGATAACCTAATATGCCTTTCATTTAACTGGCTGGGCAGGTTTCTACCGTCTGTGGAACATGGAATCAAACCAGAATATGTTGGCATAACAGGCCAGTCAAACCGGTTCTTCAGTAGATCCAGAACTCGTCTGACCAGTCTGCATCAAAGACTAGCTCAACATGCTGCAGCGGCTCAACTCTGCAAAACTTGTACTGGGTGAGTTATCCCCACCTCCGTCAACTCCCAACAAACTACTGAGAATGTTGTAGCCTCCAGCAAAGTAATTCAGAATTCTAGTGGGAGTGGTAGATACGTGTCAGGTATAGTGAGAGTCCCTTGTTATAAGCCTCCTCTGGTAGATACATATAAGCAAGTGGTCTGTTATCCTCAGGCAGGGATAGGTAATCCTTTTATTTCCGAAGCCTCTGGAAATAGATAATCTACAGTGAAAGAAAAATCTCATAATGCCTGAACTTTTCCACTAGTCAACTTGGCTTTGCTTGGACTGGTCTAGCCTTGAGGGGAGAGATTAGTATTCCGTACCAGGGTAGGAGCCCTGAGAACGAGAAGGAAGCATTTTTAGAGGGAGAGAAGCAAGGTGTAGGTTGACCAAATATTCGCCTGGGTGTGTTATCTTCCTTGTTCTCAACTGATCCTCATACCATTCCAGTCTAAAATTGGAAAAACTACTTCTACATACCAGAGGCAAGTTAGAAGTTTTACTTTGGATATTCAGCAGTTCAACAGAAATAGCTACTAATTTTCAGGAATTCTGCTAGGTAGGGGGTTCACAATGGTGGAAAAGATACATTTAGTAAAACAGCAATATAAGATTCCAGTTGGACAGAAATTATTTATATAAAGGGAGATCATGTGAGATTTATTTTTACTCTATTAATTCTTGCACATTTAGAAACAGTCTTCTGTACCTACTGACGAAGTGATTCCGAAACTTTTCTGCCCAGGAATCATCTGAGATGCTAGTTAGAACCCAGATTGCCGGGCCTCACCTCAAGAGATTCTGATTCTATTGCCTACGCACTTTTGCACTTCCTTCGATTCTTGGGCAGTGTTCTTGCAGAGACCATAGACCAGACTCCATATTCAAGTTATCTTTCTGTGTCTAACTAAAGGAAATACACATGAACCAAAATTTGTCATATTCATTTTTGTGTCTCCAGTGTCTAGAACACTGACACTTAGAAATACTTAGTAAATGCTTACTAAGTAAATATCTACTCAGAGTCAGCATTTGCCAGATCCCAAGGGAAACACAACTAGTAACTGTTGTGTGAGTCAAATTGTATACAATACTATAATTATAATAATTGAGGTAGGAGCACAGAAAAGTGAACAAGTATAACTGTGGAGAAGACCACAAGGTAGACTGGTTTAGAGAATACTTTTATACCCAGAACCAAAAAGTGCTATCTGTAGGATAGTAAAAGGCAAGAAGAAGGGTAAAAAGAATGCCTCTCAAGTTATTATTACTCAGAATTTGGTAATTAAGTATTTTCCAGAACAAGGGTCAGCCAATTTTTCTGTAAAGGATCAGAAACTAAATATTTTAAAATTTGTGAGCCAAATTGTTTTCATTTTAGTATTCATCTGTAACATTAGTACAGAAGTAGATATAGACAATAGTCAATGAATGGGTGTAGCTATGTTCCAATAAAACTTTACAGAGCAGGTGGCAGGCCAGATTTGGCCAGTAAGCCATATTTGGCTAACACCTAATCTAAAGTTAGATTTTTTTTAACAGTTAACAAGATTGCATATTGGGTAGGAAAATTGGCTTTGAAATGACAAAGACTTGGGTTCCATTACAATTCTATTCTTAATAGCTTTGTCTCTTTAATCAAGCATCAATTTTATTTATAAAATGGTAATAAAAATAATAGTACCTATACCTTAAAGTAATTGAAATATCCAAATAACACAATTTACATAAAAGCTTATCTAAAAACCTCATACACATTGAGGGCTCTATAAAATGTCAGCTAAACATTTGAACATGGGCATTTGGTTTTTTATTATTTTTGAAAACCCACTAAAATAACAGTGAAGAACCAAAACAGCATGAACTCTTCAGGATCAAAAGGAATGAGAGAGCTAGCAGACAAGAGATATAGAAGAGGAAGACAGGATATGTGGCGACTGGCTTAGCAGAATAGAGAAAGAGAAGTCTGACTTTGCTGCAGAATGCTGAAAAACATCAGGGATTGGAAGCACAGTCTACCTGTAAATAGTCTTGGGGTGTGAAGTGGGCTCAGAATTGTATGTTGGTTGAAAATTTGCTTAAGAAATAATTTGCTCTGCAGGTTCCTTAATCGACCCAAAGCCTGGAGACTGTCCCGTCTTCAACCTTGGTAGAAGATAGGTAGGATTTGTGTTTTAATGGTTGGAGAGATTGTCCTAGCTTGATTCTAGATTTGGGAATACCAGGGAGAGCAGAGGGTGAATTGTGAATTATCCCCATTAAAATCAAGGAGATTGCATCATTTTCTGTTGCGTATATGACAAATTACATGAAGCTTGGTGGTTTAAGACAATGTAGATTTATCATCTTTCCACTCTGGAGGTCAGAAGTCTAAAATTAGTCAGTGAACTAAAATCAGAGTGTCAGCAGGGCTGCATTCATATATGGAGAATTCATTCTTGGGGGGAGAAAACTGTTTTCTTGTCTTTTCCAGTTCCCAGTAGCTGTCTGCATTTCTGGGCCATGGTCTCCTTCCATCTTCAAAGTCAGCAATGGTTGGCTAAGACTTTTCTTTTGTCAAATCATTCTGACCTTGACTCTGTTGCTCTTGTCTTCTACATTTAAATCCAACTGGATAACTCCAGGCAATTTCCCTATTAAGGTCTGCTGATTAACAACCACAATTCCATCTGCTACCTAAATCCACCTCTTCCATATAACCACATATTCATAGCTTTCTAGGATTAGGATGTGTGGACATTTTTAAGAGGTCATTATTCTTCCTACCACAGAGATCAAGTCTGTCTTTATGTTGGTTGGTGAGTTGCCCAGTCCGTTCCTCCACTAGGCCTCCGAATGCTAGTACCCAAGTTCCTATTTTTCACTCACAAAGCAGGGAAGTAGTGAATTTCTGCCTGAAAAACGGTCACATCTCTGATCAGCCTAATACAGTGGTTGTATCCTAGGGTTGATTTTGCCCCTTCAAGGAACGTTTGGCAATGTCTGGAGAAGCTTTTGATTATAACAACTACGGAGGTGGGCAGAGGTGTGGTACTGGTATCTGATGGGTAGGGGCTAAGAATGCTGCTAAATATTTTACAATACACAGCAGCTCATCTTCCCACCCCAACAAGTAATTATCCAGTCCAAAATGTCAACAAGGCCAAGGTTGAGAGACCCTACTATAATGTTAAATCTCTTGGTCAAATAACCCTTAAATAAATCAATTAATCCCAGGTAGGCACACAGAATTACCATTTAGCATTTTGCAACTGATTGGAGAGCATTAAATATGAAAGAAATAAATGAAGAGAAACAACAGATAAAAAGAACGTAGGGGCCAGTGCTGTGGCACAGTAGGTTAATCCTCTGCCTGCAGCACCAGCATCCTATATGGGCACCAGTTCTAGTTCCGGCTGCTTCTCTTCCAATCCAGCTCTCTGCTGTGGCCTGAGAAAGCAGTGGGAGATGGCCCAAGCACTTGGGCCCCTGCACCTGCGTGGGAGACCTGGAAGAAATTCCTGGCTCCTGGCTTCAGATCAGCTCAGCTATGGCTGTTGTGGCCATTTGGGGAGTGAACATGTGGATGAAAGACCTTTCTTCTGTCTCTCCATCTCACTGTCTGTAACTGTATTCATCAAATAAATAAATTTTAAAAAAATCTAAAAAAAAAAAAAAGAAAAGAAACAGTTAACAACACAGGGAGCAGAATAATTTAAGAAATACTATTTTAATATATTAAATTTAAAGACATTACTGGTTATGTAAAACAAGAACAGAAAGATACCTAAAAGTAGAACTTTTAGAGACTAAAAAGGAGATTTGGAAAGTAAGAACATGGTGGTAGAAATAAAGTCAGTAAGAGGAGTTAGAAGATAAAGTTGAGGAAATTTCCCAGATATAAAATAGAAAGATAAAACAAAGAGAAATAGAAGATAAAACATTTTTAAAATCGTTTCTAGGGGCCAGTGCAGCAGGTTAAAGCTACAGCATGCAGCACCGCTATCCCATGTGGGTGCTGGATCCAGTCCTGGCTGTTCCACTTATCCAGTTCCCTGCTAATGTGCCTGGGAGAGCAGCAGAAGATGACACAAGTGCTTGGGCCTCTGCACCCCTATGGGAGACCCAGAAGAAACTCCTGGCTCTTGGCTTTGGCCTTGCCCAGCCCCAGTGGTTGTGGCCATTTGGGGAGTGATTCAGCAGATGGAAGACCTCTCTCCATGGCTCTCCTTCTCTCTCTTTGTAACTGGGCCTGCCTTTCATATAAATCAATAAAATCATATAAATCATATAAATTAATAAAATCATATAAATCAATAAATCTTTTAAAAATCATGAATAAAAAAGTTTTAACCAATAATAGAGAAATGGAAGATTAAAAATTATCAAATAGTCTGAATTTTTCCCTGTAAACAGAAGACCCAGGTTTCTGATTGAAAGTGTTCATTAAATGCCTAGCAAATGAATGCAGAAAGGCTGCCCACAAGGTATATCATCATGGAATTTCAGAACACCTGGGATAAGGAAAAGATACAGAAACTTCCAGAGAAAGAGAAGGGAAACTAGCACAACAAAATGATCACATAGAAAGGATCAGGAATCAGAATAGCACAGCTTTAACAGCAACTCAGAAAACTAGATAGCAATGAATTAGTTTAAAAATTCTGTAAGCATAGTGTTTATAAGCCAAGAATTCTATATTTAGAGTATAGGCTGGCGCCGCGGCTCACTAGGCTAATCCTCCACCTAGCGGCGCTGGCACACCGAGTTCTAGTCCCGGTCAGGGTGCCGGATTCTGTCCTGGTTGTCCCTCTTCCAGGCCAGCTCTCTGCTATGGCCCGGGAGTGCAGAGGAGGATGGCCGAAGTACTTGGGCCCTGCACCCCATGGAGACCAGGATAAGTACCTGGCTCCTGCCATTGGATCAGCGTGGTGTGCCGGCCGCAGTGCGCCGGCCGCGGTGGCCATTGGAGGGTGAACCAATGGCAAAGGAAGACCTTTCTCTCTGTCTCTCTCTC